AGAGAGAGAGAGAGAGAGAGACGAGTGTAGAGTGGTGCGAGAACTCGATGAAACTTGCGCGTCGCACCACCTGGGGAAACGCAGAGGGAGAAACGTTGATAGAGAGATAGCAGAGAGATCGCGGCAAATCGCTCGTGCACGTATTACAGGCACGTTCACGCGTGGTTGTTTGCACGCGACGGCGAAGAGCAAATACGTGTTTCCATTTGATGTGTTAAGCTTTTACCTCTTTGTGTGAGTTGGTCGGTCGGAGCGTACCCGGCCGAGTATCTCTCTACGAGAGAGTTTCTCCTGCGTCACTGTCTCCCCACGAGCGTGTACGCATGCGTGTATGTGTGTGTATGTGTTACACTGGCGCTCGCGCGAGTGACGGACTACACACTACGTTACACTGGCGAAACGAAAGAGGACGACAGTGTGACGGCCAACCAGGCCGATGATCTCCGATGTGCACCGACGTTGGAAAAGTGGGGCGGTAATTTCATTTGCATGGGGTTGTGCCAACTGCGCGACGCTCAGACCGTCGGACGACGGAAGGGGGGAGTGAAAGGGTAGGGGGAGAAACAGAGACAATGGAAAAGGGAACAGCGGGTACGCGTCGACCGAATCACCGAGCGACGGAACGAACGAGGCGAGCCGTGACACGACGAGAAAAAAAGAAGAGAAAAAAGAAAAACGAAAAAAAGAGGAGAGGCACGAAAACGGAGAAGGGAAAAGGGAGAGGAGACCGGGAGCCTTCGGCGAAGAATCCTATCGGGATGTCATTCCCGTCACGAGGGCGTTTTCCGTTCTACCACCTTCGCAGACTTTATTGCATATTCAGGCTTCTCCTTTCTTCCCGAGCGTCACGCGTCCGTTATAGACCAAGGGCGCAAAAAAATAGAGAATAATGAAGGCGGAAGTGGCTGGTTCGTAACGCGAACGTCCTGAGCTCGTGCTCGCGCCTCGCTTCCTTCGAAAATGAAAACTCCGATTACAGATAACGCTTTTCAAACACGACGAAGATGTATAAAACGAATTCGAGAGATTCTCTTTCAAACTTGATTCTGACTATCGCGCATCCCTGTTCGCCCCTTTTCTGCTGCACGCGAGCACGAGCATAAATTTCGACGAGGTGATGCCTGCTCGAGGTAGGAAAAGTGGCTCGAGCCACACGCGGGTGTCGGGGAGACGCGGAGCAGGCCATGGGAACGTATTAATATTCTGCGGTCGACGTAACCCTCGAAGGGTACATTTCTAGTCTCGACACATTCGCGTACGGCTTCCATTTCCTCTCTCTAATCCACGAAATTCTCGAGGTAATACGTACACACGTGCACGTAACGCGTATACACGCGAACGTGTATAATGTATATTCACACAGACGCTGGCCCCAGTGTACTGGCTCGAGATACACAACGCCACGTCTTTCCACGGCTGGATCACCTTCTCGTCCATGACCCGACCGCGTGATCGTTCTTCGGCTTGCATTCTCCGCATAGTCTCGCGCGGCGGCAGTACCAACTATCGGGGAGAACCGTCGAAAGCGAGGGTGTGGTCCCTGCGCTTTCGTCACACGGTTTTACACAGAGTGTCGCCGCCGCGTCCCTGCTCCCCCAAAAACACGCATTATTCCGCTCGCGATACGATACACGCGGCTAATCGACGACCTCACCCCTCCGCCGTTTGCACCCATCCATTTTTCATTTCCGTCGCGAGTCACGATACTC